CTGGGTAGAGTAGAGGGACAACACAGGAGGGGAAGACCCTCTATGAGATGGATTGATTCAGTGACTGGGGTAATCGGGATGGGTGTGTCAGAGGCAATGTGATTGGCACAGGATAGAGCAGGGTTTAGGGCTGTTGTACATAAGGTCGCTATGAGTCGCAAACGACTCAACGGCACATAACAACAACAACAAACTGTTTACATAAATTACCTCATTTAATCTCTATGGAATGGGCACAGGTAGATCCATTTTACAGATAAGGAAGGTGAACAGTAGAGAAGTCCATTATTTAATAAAGAGCTAGATCCAGGATTCAAGTCCCAGAGCCTGTGTTCTAGTTAGGTAGTAAATACAACAGAATAGACTGTCATCTGCTTCCAGTTTTGTTTGCCTTGATAAATCCAGCATGAACCTAAGTTTTAAATGTTTCTACAAACAACTTGCTGCCATCAAGGTGGAAGCGACTCAGAGCTGGCCTCTTGGGATTTTCTGTGGCTGTAAGTTACATGGGAAGAAATTTCCCATCTTTCTCCTGTAAAGCATGGATTTGAACTGCTTGCCTTTCAGTTGTTGGTGCTACTCCTTACCATTTGGCCTCTATACTCCCTAATAAAAGTATGTTGTTGTTGTTGTTGTTATATACAACTGAGCTGAAATGGACTTACATCTCACTGTCTTCACAGGTTTTCAGAGACAGTATATCACAGGGGAGGAGATTGCTCATCTTTCTCCCATGGAGCATCTGATGGATTCAAACCGTATTCCTTTGGGTTAGCACTGCAACTCCTTACCACTAAGCCACCACCAGAACTCACTGAATAAAGTAAAGAATGTGGAAATAACTACTTTGCTTCCAGTGCATTGTCATGCTTAGCTTTGGTTTAAAGATAACTGTGTTTCTAATAAAGATGTGTATATTTCAGGTGTGGGCTGCAGTTCCTCCCTGGAAACAAGGCACTTTCTCAGAGTTTGTTGTGGTCAGCGGAGATGAGGTAACTCATCAATTCTATGTTGCAATGTCATTAGAAAGTATAAATAAAGAATGAAAAAATATACCTGATGTAAATGATTTTTTTTTATACTGGGCTCCTGTTATATAGATAGTTTTCGAAGACTTAAAGAATATACATTTTTGAAATATTAACAAAGTATGGGATGCCATTTGATAACACTACTTGCTAGAGAAGTTGTCTTTGCAAGATAGAGTAAGCATTTGGTGTGAGATCTAGAAACTTTGCTGTGTATCTTTGTTATTGAAATCAGATGTACCAAAGGGATAGTAAGGATTAATCCTAAGCAGTTGCTTTGAGTGTCAGACCCTTTTGAATAAATTTAAATAGAAAGCTAATAAAATATGGCCAAGAGACTTGATTATTTGAACAGAGAGAAAGATTTTAATACTGAAGAAATTGACTATGGAAATTAGCTGAAGAATAGGAACAGATAAAATTCTTGATAAGTGGAAATTTAGAAAAATGACCTTTTAGTAAATAAGAATAAAAGGAAAAATAGGTGGTCTCAATAAAATAAGTAAATAAACTTGGATTTATTTTAGTCAGTACTAAACAGATTTATTGCCTCTGAACACCCACTGGAGGGTCAGCTATGAGTTGGTTCCAACTCGATGGCACACAACAGCAATAGGGTTAATAGTGAGTTCTGCTGGCCTGGTGGTAAGAAAGAGTGCTACAATCCCAAAGCACACAATTCTAATCCACCAACTGTTCCATGGGAGAAGGATGGGCAGTCTTCTCTCATGTGATTTACTGCCTCAGAAAAACCATGAGAGGGTTAGCTATGAGTTGGTTCTGACTCAATTATACATAACAACAACAGTAGGATTAACAGATGTGGTCTATTTATAAGGAATGACGTAGTATAATAACATGCGATGACGTAGACTGCATAGAATTTCTGTGATGTAGGTTCAGCTATTTAGATAGTATTTGTTTGGGATAATTTTTACAGAAAGAAATGTAGTAAACACAGAACTGTGGCTGTAGAAAGAGCCAGGTCAATGTGGGTATGATCATGCCTGACCTTTACTGACTTCACAAAGGGGGACTGTCCCTATCAACAGCATCAAAAACACGAAACCAATTTCTGTGAGATCAGACATGTCTTCTATGCTCCTATGCCTCTTTCTACTCATCTCAACCCAAATATTTCTGCTTTACTGGGTCCAAAAGCCAACGCAATAGCTCATAGACCCCACAGAACCATATTGAGGACATTGAAAGATTACAATCTAGGTTAGTAGCAGAATACAGTCAGGGCGGCTTCCAAAATGTACTCACAGGCACCTCAGCCTTGAGCCTGGTGGCTTTTAGATCAGTGTTACAAAGTTCTTAGTCCTGTGAATGATGACATTCCACCCATAGTTGTCCAACAAACTTTGGCAAAGGCTCTTAGCTGTGGTTTCAGTGGTGTAGCAGTCCCAAGGATCTGTCTCACATTTGGTCTAAGGCTCTATGTCTCATGTCAGGTTCCTGGTTCTTCTCTGTGGCTGCTATGGCTGTTGGTTTTATAGGCCCTCTTGCTTGATCTTTTCCTGGTGATGAGGTTTCTTCTCTTCTCCGCTGCTGGTAGGAAGATCTAATTCTCTTACTGCTGGATTGCTCAACTTAATGTTGAGACATGCCAATTTCCTTGTGATTGATGAGACTAACTAATCCCTTTGTGCATTGGTAGATAGCCAATCCCCTTGTTGATAAGTTAACATGCCCCATTTGCATATTCCCACCCATTTACATGGCAAAGTAAAAATTATGGCTAGAAAAGTCATATGGAAAGACAAGCTCCAGAGTGGCTTATCTGTGAAAATAGATTATCTCCTTTAAAGGTAAATGTACTTACTTTTGTACAAAGATTTGTAAATTATGCTTGTTTTTTATTGTTTTCCAATTTAGGTCTCTTACAAACCTAAATCACTCACTCATAGTCAAGCTGCATCTTTGCCATATGTGGCTCTCACAGCCTGGTCTGCCATAAACAAGGTTGGTGGCCTGAATGACAAAAATTGCACAGGAAAACGGTAAGTGTCAGTGGTGATATCTAACCCCCCTCCCCGTTCTCCTATAAGATTATTGCAGTAGATTTTCCAGGAGCATTGATATTTCATCATGTACAAGCATAGAATTATGCTAATACCGAAAATAATTTATAAGAACTCTATTTGTATCAGTTTGCAATTTCTTTTTTTTTGTTAAGAAAATTTTCGTGGTTTTATTGTGTTATGAGGCATTGAAACATCTGAACAAATCAATATTTAGGCAGTAAGGCAGCTGCTTTCTTCTTCACTTCTTTGGGTTACTAGAGCAACTTGTCAGTACATTAAAAAGAAAGAACAAAAGACAACCTTTTGCATTAAGTGGTTCCAAGGCATGTGCTAGTACAACACAGACTTCACCTGTTAGATGCAACTAGTCTAGTGTCCAAACAGCACTGTTAACACCTCGGTGGCAGCAGCGCACCGCACCCACTCCCACCTTGGCCCTGCTTGTTTGTGTATGATTTTTGGAGCATCTGGAGGAGTGTGAATAGTATCGGGAAAAGGAGGGAGGAGGAAACAGCATTAATGCCTGGCTGGGACGAGGTCAGCCGAAGTTGTGCAGAGAAAGCCTGAACATATCTTTGGTGTAAATCCAAGCATCATTGATGTTCTTTAACAGGAACATCTGGTGAAAGCCCATGATGGGGCCTTCATCGACTTTGAGCTGGCCCACAACCATGCTGAGGATATAGTTATCTGGCGTGGGCTGATGGTCCTGCATGTGATGCTGTGCTGGATTTTTTGGAACAGAAGGCTAGACAATTTCTCCATAATGACAGCTTTCTCCTGGAACTGTAGTCCTTCCCATGTAAGGCATGACATGTCAATATAAATTACACCTACTTGGACTCTGTCGTTATCAAATAACTGGTAGTAATGTTGAATGAAGCTGGATCCAATCTGTTCCCAAACTGGCTTGTCTCTCATTATGGAGTGTCGCCCAGCCTCCGTGAGACCCAAGGGGCTGGCATCAGTTTGCAATTTCTTAATCTCATTCTCTTGATTCTTAGGTCAATCGAACATATTTTTAAATTGAGATATGTAAGTGAGTTTCAAGAGTCTGAATCTTATAAAATAAAATAAAATAAAATTTTGGATGTGAGTCTTTGGGGAAAAGATCTAGTTTCCTAAAAAGTTAAGAATCATTCTATAAAGTTCCTAAAGAGTACTATCAACTGGTATTTTTCCTGCTCTAGCCAGCCATAAGTTGCTCTCATACTTGCAGATTTCTATGTAAATGAGATATAAAAAAACTTTTAAAAATTGGTGAATATATTTTAATTCTCATGGCATTAATGCTTGATACCCTTAAGGTCAGTTCTAGTACTTTTTCCTTTAATGTACTGAGTGTATTAGCAACAATAGAGTAAATAGAAATGTCTTGAAAGTACTTGAGTTCATCTCTAAATTCTGCCACTTTCTAGGTGTATGACTCAATGAGTCTTTTCTGTGAGTTTAGTTTGAAGAATAAAATGAGGTGATACCACACTGATGGTACAGTACATGTATCACTTACTGAAGAAGATCAAAGACTGCAGCCTTCAGTATGGATTACATCTAATATCAGGAAAACAAATTAGACCAATAGTCCCATGTTATTTTCTATTTAAGCAGTAAGAGTCTGGAACTAGGAAACTGGACCTTTGGGCCTGCTTTCCATGCTGTCACTAAATAAGTAGCCACAAACATTTTCTCTTAAGTATGAAACAGGGTTATGGACAGTGATTTGAGAAATTGAAGTTCTATACTTCAAAAGGTGATTACACTGAATGATGACCTTCACTGACGTGCATTCTCGTGTTTGTAGTGTAAGTGTTTGTCCCTGAGCTGCAGTGAGAGTATTGGCCCTTGATACCCCTGAAATTTCAGTTCACTGAAATTACTACACATAAATAATAATAACTGCCTGTTCTTGTTACTGTGTGCCATTTAATTGGAACGAAATCAGAGCTAACCTTTCCAGTGGCTTTTCAGAGGCTGTAAATCGCATGGGAGGGGATTGCCCATCTTTTTTGGTAGAGCAGCTGGTGGATTCGAACTGCATGACTTTAGGTTGACAGTGCAGCTCCTTACCACAAGGTTACCAGCGCTCCCTACTAACTGCCTTTGTCTAATTAGTTGAGAATCACAAAAATGTAAGCATAGTTTTAAAATTATAGTTTCTTAAATGAAGAATTATTATAGTACTTAAATTAAGAGGTCCCAGAATCCAAAGAGGCTTTTATCTCTTATCGTTTGACTATTCATTATGATTCAAACTCAAAACTCATTCCAGTGGAGTTGCACTAGATTCATAGCTGCCCCTCCAGTGGTATCTAAGACTGTAAATCACATAGGAGATTGTCCATTTTTCTCCCTTTGCGATTGGTGAAGCATATTGTATTTTGGAAGGAATACGCAGAGTCACTGTATCAAATAGAATTGATTGACACAGAACCATTTCAGAGAGAATATGATCAAGAACCAATGGTAACAAGGAAAAAAGTTCAGGCTGCACTGAAGGCACTGGCACATCAGAATTGATGTGATACCAGTTGACATGTTTCAATAAACTGATGCAGCTTTTGGTGTGCTCGCCAGTCTGTGCCAAAGAACTTGGAAGACATCTGCCTGGCCAGCTGACTGGAGGAGATAATATTTGTTCCCATTTTCAAACAAGGCAGTCTGACAGAGTGTAGAATTTGTCAAACAATATCACTAATATTGTTGTTAAGTGCCATAGAGTTGTCGGTGACTCATAGCGACCCTATGAACAAAAGTCCTCAACACTTTTGACTCATCCTTTCTCCATGTTCATAGGGTTTCTGGAGGCAAGCTATTACAGAAGTGGATGCTACTCCTGCTTATAATCACTAATATTACGTATAAGTAAAATCTTACTGAAGATTACCCAAAATTGGCTAGAAAAGTATAATGACAGAGACCTGTCAGAAACTCAGGCTAGATTTAGAAGAGGCCATGGCACCAGGGATATCATTGTTGATGCCAGATGGATCTTGGGTGAAAAAAGAGAATACCAAAGGGTGTCTATTTGTGTTTTATTTGACTATGCAAAAGCATTTTATTTTGTGGATCATAATAAATGATTAACATTGAGAAAGAGAATCCTAGGACACTTAGTTGTGCTCTTGTGGAAATTAAATATAAACCAAGAAGCTAGAAAACAGAGCAAGGGAACTCTGTATAATTTAAAAATCAAGAAAATTGTGTGTCACAGCTATATTCTTTCTCCATATCTATTCAGTCTGTATGCTGAGTAAATCATTCAAGAAGCTAGACTTTATGGAGAAGAATGTGGCATCAGGATTGGAGGAAGACTCAACAACCTGCCTTATGCAGACGACACAACTTTGTTTGCTGGAAGAGAGGAATACTTAAAATGCTTGCTGTGGAAGACCAAAGACTACAGCCTTTAATGTGGATTACACCTTAACATCAAAAACCCAAAAATCCTCATCACTGGGCCAGTCAGTAACATCATGGTACAAGGAGAAAAGACCAAAGTTGTCAGTTATTCATCTTGCTTGGCTCTACAGTCAATACCCTTTGTACCAGCAGTCAAGAAATCAAGATGTATTGCATTGGGAAAATCAGCTGCAAGGACTCCTTCAAGGTACTAAGGAGCAACAGTGTCAGTTTAAAGATTAATGTGCCCCTGTCTCAAGCCATGATCTTTTTATTTATGTACTATGCATCTGAAAGATGGACATTTATTTAATAAGAATGAAAGAAGAATTAATGCCTTGCCTTCTGGTGTTGGAGAAGAGTGCTGAATATCCAATGGATTGTCAAAAGAATCTGTCTTGGAGAAAGTTCAACCAGGATGCTACTTAGAGGCAAAAATAGTGAAACTTCATCTCACAAACTTGGGGCATGTTGTTAGAAGAGACCATTCCTTGGAAAAAATATCAAGCTTGGAAAGGTGGAGAGTCATTGAAAGAGAGGAAGACTCTCAACAAGATGGTCTGGTATAGTGACTAGCAATGAGCTCAATATGTCAGAGATGGTGAGGATAGTACACGATAGGACAAGGTTCAGAGCCATTGTTCATATGGTTGCTGTGAGTCAGTCAACTTGAAGGCCCTGAACAACAACAACAACAACAACAACAACAAGCTAAATATGGGGCTTTGGTGGTGTAGTCTGTAAGTAATTGCACTGCTAACCCAGAAGCTACACCTCACTGCAGGTTCAAATCTACCAGTGGCTCTTTGGAAGAAGGAAGGGCTATCTCCTCCATTGTAGTTTAGCCATTGTGGATAGCCTCATAAATCCACTGTATGGTCATCTATGAGTCTATTCCAACCCAAGAAGAATGAGTAAAAGATTTGTGTGTGCATACATATGCATATATATAGTCTCTCACCTCCTGGCCCTTCTTGTTCACTCTGCAGAAAACAGCTCAGAGTTTATTATCAAAAACTGACAGTGTTTTTACCTACTGTTGTTATGTTGTTGTGTACCATTGAGTCTAAACTGACCCATCGCTAACCCTCTGGAAGGGTAGTATATTAAAAAAATATGTTGTTGTTTTTGTGTACTGCTGAGTCACCTGCAACCCACAGTGACCTTATGTACAGCAGTTATGAACCCTGCCCTGTCCTGAGCCAATCTCACTAATTCCGACACAGCAACCCCCCATTGCCCCAGTTACTGTATCACTCCATCTCATCTGGGATCTTCCTCTCCTCCACTGTCCCTCCACACTTGTAAGCATGATGTCCTTCTCAAAGGACCGGTCCCTCCTGGTATGTGCCCAAAGTATGTGAGATGGAGCTTCAAAATCCTAGCCTTCAAGAAGAAACTTGGTTTCATCCTCACTAAGACAGACCTATTTGTTTTCTTGACAATCCATGGTATGTTTAAGACTCTTATCCAGCACCACCGTTTGAAAGCATCAATTCTTCTGATGCATAGCAAGTAACTGCAAAGACCATGGCCTGGATTAGGTGCACCTTAGTGTCTAGACTGACATCATTACT